CCCACCCCTCTTGCTCCTGGGGCAGTGGGCCCGGCATCTGCAGGTGCCCTGCTCTGGGTAGGGGCAGTAGGGATGGCGATTTCCTGGTTTCTGTGGGAAGCAGGCCCTGAGGCTTTGCCTTTTGACAAGCCCCTCCATTGTTCTCCCGTTTCTGGGCCAGCCTCACGCAAACAGTCTGTCAGAGACTCACTACCTGCCTCCCAGTGCCTTGGTCCAGGGGGCTGGCAAGGCACGTGAGGTATCCCCTGAGCAAAATTTAAGGGGGTATCCCAAATCTCAGTAATCAAAGTAAATTGTATTTCCTTTTTCAATTGAAATGTGCTTGCCATATAACACTGTGTGCCACTGGTTACAATGATACATTTCTATATTGTAGCATGACTGCCACTGTAGCTAGTGATATTTAGCACCTCTATCCTGTTTCATAATCATCAATTATCATTTCTTTTCAGTGGCTGGAATCATCTGACGATACAATACAATATTGGTGTCTATATTCCCTATATCATGCCTCAGATCTTGAGGGCTTGTAAAATGAATCACATTTCAATGCACTGTTATTGATCAAGATTGTCTCATCTAAAAGCATGCAATCCACCCTTTGAAAGTGTACAACCTGGTGGCAGGTGGGAAATTGGTAAGGTTGAGCCACTACCACCTCTAATTTCACAAGTTCCATCGCCCCCAAAGAAGCCACACTCATGGGCAGGCAATCCCCACTCCGCCCTCCCCGAGCCCCTGGTGTCCATGACATATATTGAAAAATCAAATGAATGCAGAAAAACAAAAATAAAAACAAAACCCATTGAACAAGCTGTCATGTTTTAAAACAAAGACGCTCTGACACATTTTGGCCCTGCAGCCCTCTCCTCACCTGTATCTCCACTGGGCTTGAGAATTGCTGGGAGAGAGGAGCTCACGTTGGTCCCCAAAAGATGGGCGGTCTGGACCTGGGGTCCATCTCTCTTCTCAAACCCTGCGAGGAGGGTGTCCAGGCCCTTGGTGGCCAGCTGGCTGGCTGGGGGACTCTGGCCAAAACAGTAGCCTTGTCACTATCTATGTAGCACTTACTGTATACTAAGCTTGCAAAATCCATTTTATGCATTACTCAAAATGGTTTTAAGAAATTACTTCTATGCATTTGCATGCAGTTTATTGTAAAACATTCAAACAATACATTAATATACAGAGTACATGTGACGGCCCCCTTTCCCCTGTGACCCACCACAGCCCCGAAGGCAAGGGCAGTTTGAGATGTGTCCTTCCATACTTCTGTGTGTCCTGTGTTGCACTTCATCTTCAAAGCACCCCTGAAATGAGTACTGATACCACCCTCATTTTACAGGTGTGTTGAGTGAGGCTCAGAGAGGGCAGGTTACTTACCTAAGGTCACAAAGCAAGTGAGGAGGCATGACTCAAATCCACGACTGTCTGACTTCAGTGCTGAGGAAAAGAGGAAGCGAGGCCCCAGCGTAGGGGGATACCTCTGAACTCAGCCATAGTTGTGGCCCGTTCATTCAGTCATTCAACAAACATTTTGGGGGCATGAGTGTGTGCTTGCTGAATGGTACACATGGGGCCCCTGCCTTCCCAGAACTGATGGCCAAAGTGGGAGACAGCATCCATTAACAAAGAATCAAACAGAAGTGAGATGATTGCAGCCAGGGAGAGAGGAAAGAAAATGGAGCTCCCTGAGGAACACCAGGTTTCCTATAAAATCTGGAGATACTCTATGCATGTCCAAGGAAGTATCTCCATACTGGTTTACTCCTGTTTTTCAATAATAAAAACAGGGCCTTTTTTTTTCCACTTAAAATAATCTTGGTGATTATTCCACGGCAGTGAACACTGCTAGCTGCTTCCTTTTTCACAGTTGCATAGTATTCTGCTGCATTTGCACACGGTTTATTGATCCTGTTCCCATGGAAAGTCTTGGAACGTTAGAAACACGATGTTTCTGATGTTTGCCACCATAAACTGCCACCATGGTAATGGATATCTGCATTTACGTCACTTTGCATATGAATGATTGTATCTGAAGGAGAAATTCCTGGAAATGCAATATAGCTGGGTCAGGAGGTATGTTTTAAGTAGATACTGCAACTTGCCCTGCGTAAGGGTTGTACCAGTTTCCTTCCTTGTTATCAAGGTAAGAGGGTCCCAGTTTCCCCATGTCTCATCAACATGGGGTGTTATCAAACCCCTTGATCTTTGCCAGTCTGATAGGTTGAACTGGTATCGCAGTACAGATTTAATGCTCATTTCCCTTATGAGGTTGACTGTCTTGCCCTGTGTCTAAGAACCATTCGTCTTTCATTCTCTGGGAACTCAAGGCACATATCCTTTGCTAACTTTTTTGTGCACTGTTGTAGTATTTCTTATTTTTTCCCCAAAGCTCTTTATATAGAATGGGCATTATCCTTTTGTATTATAAGCTATAGTTTTCTCTATGTGTCATTTTTAAATGACTTATGTTATTTAATTAAAAATATTGTCATTTGTCCTGACTTTGTTCAGAGTAATTTTTACTTTGCAGGGTGTTTTTGTTTTTGGAGGTTTACATGAAGTCAACTGTTTTAATTGTTCCTCTTATGGTATCTGGGCTTTGTGCCATCCTGGGGAAGGTAGTTATTTTTGATAGGGTGCAGGTGGGGAGAAATATTTTGAGTACAGGGTATAGCACGTGCAAAGGTGCCAAGGTGGGATGGGGGCTTGGCACGCATATTAGTCCGGTTTTCCAGAGAAACAATCATCAATATGCTCGGGGTCCCTGCACCTCATTTTGATCCTGTAGCACCTAGTGGGAGAGGAAGGTGCACAGCAAGCCAGGATGGAGCCCCTGATTCAGAGAGACTCCAGGGGTGCGTGTGGGCAGGGGCTTGGGGATCAGGGTCTCTGGTGCTCCCAGTGTTCTGGGTGGCAGTGGTGGGGGTGGGGACAGGAAGAGTTGGCTGAGGCTTACTAGACTCCTGGAAGGAGGTGAGACTTCTAACAGTATGCTTGAGGTAGTGAGCTCCCCATCCGCTGGAGTGTGCAAATGGAAGGGACACTGCAAATGAAAGATGGCAGAGGAAATTTCTTCCCCAGGGAAGTTTTGGAGTTGGAAGACCTTAGTCTGGTCTAAATGAGAGTCCACCCGGCCACCCAGGGCTGGCAGGGATTCTGCGTTCTCACTCCTCTGTGTGTGGGGCTGGCAGCGCCCCGACACGGCGGTGTGGGGTGAGTCTCTCTCCAGTCCCGAGATAACTGGTCTGCTGCCAGTCACTGTGGTTCGGAAGGGGAGGCCACTCCCAGTGCCTTGAGCTTGGAGGCGCTGCCCCCTGGTGGGCAGAATAAGTTCCCCTACGTTCGCCTGTCCCTTCCTGGGGGTTCTTGCCCGTTCTACAGATTGGCTGCCTGCCTGGTGGGCAGATGAGAAAAGAGGGGCCCAACCCTGCATGTCTGGGATCTGGGGATCTTGGTCTGAGTGTGGCGCCACCTGCTGGCTAGGGATAGGACTGGAGCACCTGCCCAGTCCCCAGCCCCTGGACACAGTGGGTCACAGTGGGTGGGGTCCAGGCCCCACTGTCTGACGGCAGATGCAGGGGAGGGTGGGATTGTCTCTATGCTCCACAAATAAAGGAGCTTCCACTCTTGAAAAATTTCTGCACAAGAACAGTGCTGGCAGGTGAGCCAGAGAGAGAAGCACATCAAAACCCCTGACAGAGACGCGGAAAGATTCCGAGAATGAAATGATGGCGGATTTTGCCGACTGAGGGAGAAGGGGACCCGGTGTGGATATGGCTAAGCCCTGGCAGCTGCCGCTAATTTTGATAAGCTGGGGGGACGTTTTCCCAGGGGCAGGCTGGGGTCCTGACCTTCCTGGGGCTGGACGGTGTGAAGGTAGAGGGTCCTGCCTCCAGCAGGGGCCCAGGTGGAAGGAGAAGGGACCAGATGGGAAAATGCCCAGCCTCCCGGACCTGAGAGGCAGGTGGGAGACGATGGAGGGGGCACCCTCAAGGCAGGTGGCAGAGAAGGTCCTGGGGTGGCGGCACCGGAATAGGCTGAGGTCTGGGGAGGTGGAATAAGGGAGATGGGCATGGATGGTCCAGGACAGGTGACCTCTAGGGACAGGCACGGGGGGTGGGCAGGAGCCAGGGTCAACGTGGACGCCCACTCCACCCCTCGGGGATCTGCCTGGGGTGGGGGTGGGGGACACAGTGGGCTGGGCGGCCCTTGGGATCATCGCTGCCTGTTGGGGGTCTCCGTGGGATGCGCCCCAGTTGGTGCTCATGCGGGTAGGTTCCAGGGAGTCTGAAAACCCCAGTGTGAGGGGTCCTGGGGGTTCATCGCGGGCCAGTCCTGGGAGGGTGTCTTTGGAGAGGGTCTGTGGGGAGGGGGCTGGGGAGTCGGGGCACAGAGGAGGGCCTGGGGAATTAGTGGGGTCATCAAGCCTTCCCAGGAGGATTTGCAGGGCTGAGGAAATGGGGTCAGGAGGAGGTCCTGCAAGACCAGGAAGGAGTATTTCTGGGGAGACACAGAGCAGGGGGCAAGCTGGGAGCTGGGGTTTGGGCTTAGTGCTGTTAGGGGGTGCAGGTGGGGGGTGTGTGGGAGAGCCTGGGTGGAAGGAAGGAGCTGGGGGAACAAATGCAGGGGAAAGGGCAGAATTTGGGGGGATGGGCTTTGGACACTGGGGATCCTTTAGTGGGCCATTGTGGGGCAGACCCTGGAGGGTCAGAACTTGGGTCTTTCTGCTGGGTGTGGGGGTTCAGCACTTTTGGGGGTGCTCAGAATATCGGGACGTAGGAGGACATGGATAATCAGACGGGGTGGGCCACCGAAGGAATGGATTTGGAGTGCTCGGAGCCGGGGACGTCGCGGGAGGCAGTTCTGGGTGGGGTGTGTCTGGTGGGGGGGAGTCAGAACCTGGGGCGAGTCTGGGCGGAGCGGCCGGCGGGCCCTGGGGGGAAGGCAGGACAGCGCCCGGCGGGGAGGAAGCTTTATTGCCCGCCCCGCCCGCGTCAGGAGCATTGACGGTACACGACGTGGGGACCCCACTCCTCGTACTGCTCGCGCGGGACCCAGCAGGACTGGAAGGCGCGCAGCGAGGCCAGGATGGAGCCGCCGGTCCACACCGAGAAGCCCCTGCTGGGCTGCGCGGTCACCACCACGCGGGGCTCCGGCGGCAGCTCGCGCAGCAGCTCGGCTCGGAAGCGACCCTCGAACCCCGCGAAGAGCGAGGAGCCCCCGCAGAGCAGCACGTTCCGGGCCACGTCCGCCCGCACCTCCGGGGGCGCCTTGTGCAGACTCCGCGCAGCCATGGCGGGGACACCCACCGGCGACAGCCCTGGGGTCTCGGGGGGCGCGAAGAGCAGCTCGGGGCACCGGAACAGCTCCTCGCCCAGCGTGAGCGTCCGTCCGTCCGGCAGCCTCAGGGTCTGCCGGCCCTCCTGCTCCGGCCGCGCCAGCTCCCCGCGGACGTCGGCGGCCACGTAGCAGCAGCGCCGCTTAATGCTCTCCACCAAGTCCAGGTCCGGCTGCTGCCCCAGCGGCCAGCCCGCGCGGCGCAGCGCTTCCTCCAGGAAGGCCGTCAGGTGGCTGCCCGCCAGGTCCAGGCGCTCCAGGGCGTGCGGCAGGTTGTAGCCCTGGAAGACGGGCACCGTGCAGGTGACCCCGTGGCCCGTGTCCACCACCAGCCCGCTGACCCGCCCGTGCGCGTACACGGACAGCACGGACTGGGCAGCCACGTACATGGCCGGGCAGCGCAGCGACTCGAAGGCCACCTCCACCAGCTTCTCACGGTTGGTGGCGGGGCTAAAGGGCGGGTCGGAGAAAAGCAGCGGGTGGTCCCGGGTGGCCACGCGCAGGTCGTGTTCCAACATGTGGCGCCAGATGAGCTCGGCTGCCTCCCAGTCCACCACGATGCCATTGCGCACGGGCTGCACCAGCGCCAGCTCCGGGCGTGAGCGCGCCGCCTGGCCGAGGAATGTCTCTAGCACCGGCTGCCCCCCGGTGGCAGACTTCTTGGGCTGGCAGCCCACGATGGTGGCCATGGTGTAGGTGGGCAGGGTTTGCCCCGCGAAGCCCACCTTACAGGTGCCTGTGCCCATGTCGATGACCACCGCCCCGTTCTTTTGGGGCAGTCTGTCGCTCTCCGTGCTGGGGGGCTTCTGCTGCATGGTCTGGTTCACCAGGACTGGCTTGGGGGCCTTTGGGGAGCGCAGGGGGTCCTGGGGGTTGAAGTGACTTGCATCCATGGCTGCAGCGGCCGGGTGGGCTGCTTGGCGAGGCTGACCACTTTCCTCTGGGGTGTGGGGGCAGGTAGAGGCAGGGAGGGTGGGGCAGGGTCTGTGACATCATCTAGCTTGCTGCCCCCTTCAGGAGACTTCACAATTCAGGAGTCGGGTGGGGGACCCTCCCTGCCCCTCCCTGCCCCTCTCTGCCCCAGAAAGCTCCCAGGGTCCCCATCTATTCTGGATTCCCCCCAAAGTGCCAACTTTGGAGAAAGAAGAGCACAGTGGACCCCCAGCTCCCCGATCCAGAACCCAGAAAGACCCTGGAATCCTCTTACTGCCTTGTCTTGAGGTTAAAGTATCAAAACTATATAGTGTATAGGTATGAGAGAGCTGGTCACCGGCCTCCTCAGAATATTAAGATAGCAATCCTTAGAATACTAATCAGAAGGTGGCTCACGAGGGTGGCTTTCTGGTTTCCTAAAGGAAACATAAGTCAGCCCAGGGTGGGGCACAACGAGAGGCACTGACACCCTCATATAAGTTCCTTGACTCTTCTATTCTTCCCACTGCCTGGAAAAGCCTCCCTGACCCCTTCCTGCTGAGCAGAAATTTGTCTCTTCAAATCTCAGTGGGACACCACCTCCTCCTGGAAGACTGCTCTGATTTTCCCATCCTTTCTCTACTACAAGATGGTGGTGGTGGGTGTCTGCTTCTCTCTGGGTACTTCCTCTGGTCCCCTTGGTGGCGAGAGGAGCAAAAAGGGGCTTTCAGTCTAGACTAAAAGGGGGTGCATTTCAGAGGAAGGGATTGTCTCAGTAAGGACAGAAGGCTCCAAAGGATCAAGAGAGTTGCTTTGAAACCTGTTTTTGGCAGTGTTAGGTGTTCACCTGTTAGTTAAAACAACTGAAGCTAGAGATGCTTAATTTTCTAGTTATGTTTAGATTTGTAACTGGCCAAAGAGTGAGGTTGAGTTTCTATCAAATGAATCAGCACTGTAATTATGTTTGTGTGTGGTCTAATACATGCTTTTGGAAACATTTCACTCAACTATTTATGGAGAGTGCATGCACTCCTGGCCTCCTTTATTGAGATGTAAGTGACATATAACATTGTGTGAATTTAAGATTATATATAAGGTGTTGATTTGATATACTTGCTTCAAAGCCCAGAGGTAGTTTGCTTTCCAAGTGGTCTTTAATTAAGGTATATGGTACACGCAAAGGTAATTTATAAAATTTGTATCAAAAAAGAAATGGATTTCCAATATCCTTGAGTTTTGAGTACCCTTGACAACAATTGGTATAAGAACACTGGGAAAATGATTTTTGTCCCATTTCATAGGCACATCTAGATAGAATTATTCTATGTATTCTGGTAGCTAATGGAATCCAATGGGTATTAAAAGAAAGAAGAACTTTTTAGGATAATGTCAAGATTTGCACCTGGGTCCAAAGACAGGAGGAAAAGTAGAAATTCTGTGATTGCTTTTTGGGTGGATTCTCCCAAGCATTTAACTTAGAGATGATTCCATTTCTATAAAAACTCTTCTCAATTTATTCGTGAAGCTAATGTTATTACTTGACATCAAACCTATTAAAGACATTAGAAGAGAAGAAAACCCCTAATAAAGATAGACACAATAATTCTTAACAGAATTTTAGCAAACCAGATCCCATAATATCTAAAAAGGATCATGCATTGTGACCCAGTGAGCATTTATCCCAATAAATCCAGATTTATGTAACATTTGAACAGCAATCAATGTAATTCACCCTTTTAGCAAACTAAGAAAAATCCTATGATCATCTGAGTAGATGTATAAAAAGCTCTTTAGAAAATTCAAAATGCCTTACTGATCAGACCCTTAACAAATTAAGACAGAAGGGAAATTCCTCAAAGTGATAAAGAGTATCTACAAAAACCCTACATTATACTGATGGGCGAAGAGGGAATGCCTTTCCCTTAAGGCCCAATGATACAGGGACAGCCATTCTCAACCTTCCTTATCCACATTTGCTGTAAGTTCCATAATGTGAAGTAAAAGGAGAAAAATAAGTGACTGTAACCCAGATTGGAACAGAAGAAGTAAATTGCATTTACTCATAGAGGAGAAAATCACCTATGTAGAAAATCAAATGAAAATACACACACACAAAAAGCACAACTAATAAGTGAGTTGAGCAAAATTGCACAATGCCAGAGCAACACAGGGAAACCACTTGCATTTCTGTAAACTGACAAATAATCCCTATACAATGAAATGTAAAATGAAGTAAAGTTATTATTTTCAAATTTGGTGATACCTTTACTTTACTTATGATTCGATTAAATATTACATTACTTAACCTATTACGTGTTTAAGTGAGAATTTAATTATTCTCTTTAAAATTCAATACAAATATGAGACGCTTGGAGATACACCTTTGATAAAAGGTGGGAAAATCTTGCAACACTGAAAAGCACAAAATAATGCCTAAAGTAATTAAGGAAGACTTTAAGATGTAGACATATATTTTATTTACGTTTTTGCAGGTTCAACATTGTTAAGATGTCAATGCTTCCCAAAGATATTTATTAAATTCATTGCAATTCCGATCACAATCATGGTATTTGTTTCTTGGCATAAACTGCACTGCCCATTCTAAAATCAATGTAAGAATGCAAGGGACCTAGAAGAGAAAATTGTTCAAACTGAACAACGAATTTAGAGCAATAACCCTGCAAACAATAAGGGTTTTCAAGTCATTTTATGCAAATAGAGGAATAAAGGTTTGTTTTCATAGAGTTAAACAAACGCATCAGTGAAAGAATGCGGTCCAGAGAGAGATCACATAAGTGGAACTCAACAAAGCTGCAAGTGTAGATTTGTGGATAAGGAAGGCTTTTCAACAACAGTGCTGGGACAGTTGATACTGATGAGTAAAAAAATTAACTTTAATTCACAACTTGCAGTGTATACAAATATGAATGCAAAATTTCTCATAGACCTAACCAGAAATATCAAATATCAAATGACTAGAAGAAAGCATAGCAGAAAGACTGACTGTGGATTATGCAAAGGTTTCTTTGATACCACACCAAAAACGCAACTCAGAAAGAAAGAAAGAAAGAAAGATCACTTGGACTTCCTGAAAATTAAGAATTTCTACCCTTTGAAAGACACTCTTAAGAGAACAAAAAACTAGTCACATACTGGAAGTAAATATCTGCAACTCATATATCTGATAAATAATTCCTTATATCCAGAAGATATAAAGAACCCTCAAAATTTAATAGTAAGAAAATAAATGATCAGTTTTTTAAAATGGGCAAAATATTTTTGAACTGAAACTTCACCAAAGAGAATACACAGATTTGGTAAAGCACATGAAAAGATGTTTAGCATCTTTTCACAGCTGAAAGGCAGATTAAAAGCACAGTGTTAAATTATATATTTAAATTATAATCATTTACTAAATGTAATTATAAACGATTACACATTTACTAGAATGAATACAATTTTAATAGACCCTGTTATTTAGTTCTTCTTGAAGACACAGGGGAACTAATCTTAGACACTGCTGAGGTATCTCCACTTGGAAAAATATTTTGGCAATTTCTTCAAAGTTAAATATGTACCTACCATATGATCAAAACGTTACATTCTTGGGTATTTATCCAAAAATGAATGAAAGCATATGAACAAACTTATAGATAAATGTTCATAGCAACTTTATGTGTAATAATAAAAAAAACCTGGAAACAACCCAAATATCCGTTAATAGATGAATTGGGTGAACAAACTGTTGTATATTCATTCAATGGAATACTATTCAGTAATTAACATGAATAAACTTTTGATACATGCAACAATATGGATATGTCTTATAGTTACTGCATCAAATAATATTGGAAGCCAGACAAAAATGTGTACATACGATAGGATTCTAGAAGTTCCAATTAATCTATAATGTCAGGAATGTTTGTTTGTTTGGATAATGGGAGGCCATAGACAGGGGCACAGGAAACAATTAGGGTGGATGAAAATAATCATTTCATATCATGTTTAATTTCATGATTGTATCTGCATTGTGTTTCTGGCTTCATGGGTGTATAAGTACCTCAATTTGAATTGCATACTTAATAATGTGCAGCTTTCTTTATGTTACTTATGCCCCGATAAAGCTATTAAAAAACTCCACATGTACTGATAGTTTATATCATATTATTCAGGCTGGTGGATCTCAGAAACCCGTGAGTAAGTCACAGGTGCACATCTCAATAATGCCTTTCTCAGTAATGAGAACCTAGACTAAACTTGTTTCTCCTGAGTTGACCTCAGGCCATGGGTATGTCTCCGGGATGCTTGCATGGCCCACACTCTGGGCACTAAGAGAGGACTGGGGTCCCAGCAATAGGACCTGGAGGTGATTTTTCTGTCTCTCTTTGATCCTTCAGGGAATGACCATGGTATCAGATCAAAGGGAAGACCGTGAGAAGGGAGGGTGGTCCATGAAGAAGCCGATTTCTGTCTTTTCTCTCTCTCAAAGGATTTGGGAAGAAAAAGGGAAAATTAAAGTAATAGAAGAATAAAGAAGAGACAGAGCATTCAGAATTCATCGGTCTTTTCTGCAATTGCTGTGCATGCACGCTTTCGAGAACTCCCAAGAGGGGGGTTCAACACATACAGGAAGTCACACACATACATACACTCAACAACCCTGACACACCTACGACTGAGAACTTATATATATAAACACTTTCTGGCTGAGTTCGGTTTGGGTTGAGCAGAAAGCCAAGCTAGTGTGTTTCTGGAATCCTGAACAAGATGTAGAAGGAGAAAGAAAACTGAGTCTGTGCTGAGTCCCTATCCCTGTGTACATCAGTCTTTAGGAACACTTTTGAAAAATCCATATTTCACGGAATGAATAAAGGTGGCCGATTCAGAAGCACATAGATCAGAGAGAATAAAATGGCAGGTTTTGCCCCAAAGAGCAAAATATTCTTGCCTCTCCGGGGAGCCAGGGAGATGCAGGAGGTGGAGGAGACAGCAGATTCAGTTCTAAGCAGGGAATGTTTCTCCCTGTGAGGGGTGCAGCATATACCCACGGTTGTTCTGCCCTCATCCTGTGGGAACAGGGGGGCATGTGCCCGGCTGATGCCCAGGATCAGGGCACAGCTGGGAGCAGTGGTAAATAGAAAAGTATACTTACAATGGGAGTCACAGCGCTGAGACTTGATGCTCTATGACACCAGGATCAAAGCAGCTTCCAGGTTTCCCTTCTTTTCCCCAGTTGGGTCCTCCTCAGAGCTCTGGGGCTCCCCCTGCACCAGCCCTTCTCTGTGTTCACGCTGGGGAAAAATATTTGGAAAAATATGTTTTGATCCTCGTCTCTCCTGGCGTCTAGGAATCCCTCAGGGTCTGTGCCCAGCTAGGCTCCAGAGCCCACTGAGGCCGGAGACAAGTGGTTCTACAGTCCTGTGCACATCCCTGCAGGCAACTGGGAGATACTGTGGCATAAGACAGCTCTGAAGGATTTGGCAGGGTTACAAAGGAGAAGGGAGGCAATGAGCACACGCAGGTGGACGTCCAGGCTACATGTCCAAGTGCTGTTCCAATTCCTCCAGAGAGCCGACTCTGGGCCTCTTGGACCCAGCTGTGGAAACGCCATCGGTACTGAGGCTGGGCGCCCACAGAGATTGAGTCTGCGAGATGCTCCCATGGCCTGAAGCAAGGAGAAGAGACAGGGAAACAGTGAGATCTTGAGGGGGAATATGTGGGGGTGTTGTGAGAGCAGTGAAGCCAGCAGATTAGTCAGCAAGCTGTGATGGGATTGGATGGCCCTGGTCTAGATAAAGGGGCCAGCTAAGGAGGAGGCTAGGGGATGAGTCAGTCCCTAAGGGGAGAATGTAATCAAGAAATGCCTCACACCACCAAAATGTCTCCAATCTGGACAGTTTGCTGACTCAGCCCCCGTTCTATAGATATTTCGTAACAAAACTTCACCGAGTGCTTGACCCTAGTCATGTGGTCAATGAAAGAATACAATATTTGCTTGTTTATAACAAAACATACATTAATATCCAAGTGGCTTTTTACATAGACAAGGTATATTTATAAAAAGAATATGACAGGAAATGATAGCTACCACTTATTGTACTCCTAAGAGTATGGAAGCACAGGGAAATGAAAGTGACATCATAACAGAATTTGTGGCTGGATAGCCACTGAATTGTCCAAACGAATGGATTCTGGCTGCCTTTTCTGAGAGCAACAAAGTATTCGGTGAGAAGCTTCTTGGCCTTTGAGAAATAGAGAGTGAAATTCAGTGTTGACCTGAGGCCAGTTTGGATTGGGTCTGTGAATGTGCCTACATAGGGGAAGGAGGCAGGGCTGTCACTGTGAGTGTGCGTCTGTTCTCAGGGTGGGCGGGTCACAGAACCTGGGCGAGGTGAGCCCACCTTCCCTTGGGAACTCGTCCCTGACTCTCGTGGGCTCAGCTGTCTTTGCCTTAGTTCAGCCAAATCCAGTAAAAACGGAAGACACGCGGTCATTCATTTCCAGATTTCAAGCTAACACGTGAAAAAAAAATCGCCATCCACTTCGGGGCATTTACATTTTTTATATTTACTTAAATACATTTAAACAATGTTCATTGAGCTCAGGAAAGCCGACGTGACCCTCTGAAGAGTCACCCACACCAGCAGGACGGGCGGGTCTCGGGTGGATACACCCAGAAGCAGCGGGCGGGCGCGCCGCCCCGACGGGGACTGGGAATTCCCTCCGCAGGGGCGAGCGCTCTGTCCGTTGCGCTCAGAAGAGCCGTCTGCGGGCCTTGCAGGGGGGCCTGCGCCGCGCCGCGTGGCAGAGCCTGGGCCCCGGGCTGGGGGAGGGAGGCAGGGGCCTGAGCGCCGAGCTGGGCCAGGGCCCCGGACCGCCGAGGTCCAGGCTGAAGTCGGCGGGCAGCGGGCGCCTCCCCAGGCGGGGCCCATGCACAGGGGAGGCGCGCCGGGGGCCCGCGGCCCTGCAGAGGGGCTTCAGGAGGAGGGTGCGCGGGCAAGGGGGGCTACAGCGCGGGTCGCGGGGCGCCCGTGGAGTTCTCTGGCGCCCTGTGCTCCGGGCCGCAACGCATCCGTCTCCCAGGTGGATTTGCCACGTGGCGTCGGGGTCCGCGGGGTGGAGCCAACGGGCGTGGGCGGGGAAGCAGAGCCCCTCGGGCGACCTCAGCAGCTGCGCGGGGACCACGACGACCAGCAGGTCGGGGAGCGTGAGCTGCAGGGCTGCCTGCGGGGCCAGGACCAGCACCTCGTCGCCCAGGCGCAGCTCCAGGTCTGTTCCTGGTTCCAAGACCACGACGATCATGCCGGGGGCGCCGGGAATCTGCTGGCCCTGTGGGGGGCGAGGGGTGGGGGGACCGGAGCGCTGAGCGCTGCCCTCCAAGGGAAACCTATACACGGCTGCGGGGAGGCACCTGCCAGACCCTCCACCCTCCCCAGCCGGAATTGTGCCGCCCCCACCCTGAAGCTGCCCTGCCCTGCCCCGTCCCCACCTGGGAGGACAACTTCGCGGACCACCCTAGGGCCCCGGAGTCCGGGCAGCACCGTCCCTCGCATCGCCCCCCGAGGGCCCAGGGTCTTACCTGGGTCGGGTCCAGGGCCACTGGCGGATCAGGACGCCAAGCTGGGTGCACTGCGGCTGCTTGTGACCCTGCGGACGGAGCAGAGGGGGGAGTGAATGGTCTCTCGTGAAGGGCGGACCGCAGCGTCCAGGGTGTGGCTGCAGGAAGAGGTTCCCCGCCAGCGCGGACCAGACGCAGGCAGCTGCCCCTGAGATCGGAGACAGCGCCCCACACCTTCTGGATGAGGCACCCGCCCCTTCCATGACCGGACTCTCACCGGTGTAGGTGGCAGCTGACTTTTACAAAGGCTGCGAAAGCCCCTCACCTGTCCTGGGCTGCTGCTCTGTCCACCGACAGCTTGCTGGGTTCCGCTGGGTGGCGGCCCACCTGCAAGGTAGGGATGCACCCGGTGAGACTTGCGCACGGTGCCCCCGCTGCCCCAGCCCTCTTGCGGTGTCCACACCGAAGTACCCGGTCCTCCGCCTGCTCTCCACCCACACCCACCCTTAAAGCCCGAGGTCAGCCTCTCGTGGACACCAGAGGACGGCGTCTGCCAATGGGTCCCAACGCCCTCCCGTCGGCGCCCTTTCCACCCACCCTGTAAGGCGTCCCCTTAGCTGGGAGTAGTGAGGGAGGGAGTTGTGACGCTGACAGGAAAGACTTGGCCCTTTCGAGGGCTTTTAGAGGGAGGCATGCATCTGTCCTTGGGCCGGAGAACTGGGTGAAAGGTGGTGTCATGCCTGAAATGGGTGTGTAGGTAAGAGATGCAGGCGGACTGGGGGGAGCACCTGGAGAGATGCGGGGCCTGCGCCCTTTCTTGGTGAGTGGGGGTGGAGTCCTAGGAGACTGCCCCGTCACAGCGGTCTGGGCATATGGGGGAGACCCCTCCATGCAGAGCGCGTGGGGTCTGTAAGGAAAGTGGAGCCCGCCCGAGACGGGGAAACTGACAGCTTCTCCACCTGACCCCCTGGGTGAGCCCTCTGGTCCACATGCCTGTCTCTTCCTTCAATTTCTAAACGTCCCAGCTCCTGGAAGGCCAGGGACCCCAAGTCCCCCTAGTCTGTCTGCTGACAAGCCTTCCCCTCTTCCCCCCACATCACCCGACGTGCCCTCCATGCTCCCAAACGTTTACCCAGGTACCTGCTCTGTGCCGCGTTGGTGGCCTTCCGTTCTGTCTGGGGCTCACTGGGGCTTCTGGGGCGCCGACGCCTGTCCATAGTCAGGGTCCCCTGCCTCCTGAGTGAGGTGGAACCCCAGTCCTGGGCCTGTCCCCTGCCAGTCGGAGCGGCCAGCCCTGCGGCGTTGCGCTCTCCCGAGGGCCGAGTGTCGGTCCAAAGCTGGGGCTCCTCCAGCGGGAGTTCGGGCAGGTGTCCCTCCGGCCCCAGGCAGCGGGGTGCGGATCTGGGATCTGAGGGGTGATGTGCCGCAGCCTGCAGGTTTTGTCCATGGGGGCGTGGTGGTGTTGGTGGGGTGGGAGGGTGGTGGGCGGGCGTGAGCCCCGGTTGGTGCCATCAGTGTCCGGGCTTCCCTAGAAGGTCTAATGTGACTTGTTCACCCCGGTCTCAGTAACAGGCGGGTCCAGCTAGGGCAGTAATAGTGGGGATGAGCCATCCCTACGAGGGTATGTGATTTCAGTGTGCCTCAGTCCACCAGAGTGCAGGACTTCCCTTCCCCCGTGTGCGGTGATGCCCTGCTGGCTGGTTGCTCTGTCCTTTCGAGCCCTCAGTGCATTAGTCCTGGTTGCTGAATATTCCCTGTGCGGTCAGTCCCAACATCCGTGCTGTGCTTGTTCTGACGCCTGTGTTCTTTCTTCTAACTGTGCTTTTGCCTTTTAATATGCCTTGTAATTTTTTATTTGTAGCCAGAGAACGCTCACTGGGTAAAGGTACTGCTGTAAATAAGCTTTTAGGAATTTACAGGTGACGGGCGACGGTTGGGAAGCTTTCTGTAATGCTGCGATGCGGGCTCAGGAGTATCGTCCACCTGTGCATTTGGACCGCAGAAACCGCCATTCCTTATTAGTTTGAAACCGCCATTCCTTATCAGTTTTTCTCCCCCTTTAGGAGGGACAAGATGGCTATAGTGGGCTGCAGCTGAGTATTTCGCTTCTACTTGGACAGCTAGGGCTGACCGAAGTTGGTTATTTACCTTCCCCCAGGTTAATTAGGTTCCAGTAAAACAGCAGCGGGGTGGTTCCAGCTAACTGGTTTCTTAGAAGGCAGGTGTTGTGAGGAAGAAGGGATGCTCTTGTGTATTTCCAGAGGGCCTCTTTGTCTCTCCCTCTGTCTAAAGCACAAGGGAATCTACCACCCATGTTTACTGTGAGAACCAGCTCAACTGCCTTCAGGCAAAGCTCACAAAATCATGGGGCCATTCCTATGATTGGGGCCCCCCTGAGTTGTTAACTCTGGGACTGGTGCATAGGGAGCCCCCAGTGGCTTGTC